ATTTACAGCCTTGGAAACCCTGTACAGGGTCGCTATGGGTCGGAACCAACTCCACAGCACATAACAACAACAACATACAAGAGATTTTTCTGGGACTAGGGACTCTCCTGTCACTATCTAAACTCACACAATTCAAATATATTTTTAAGATAGGGCCAGTGCTCTTCAGTTGGTACCAGAAAATCCAGAACTATAAGATGCTTTTACTGATGTCAAGACACATGGAGCTTTCCAAGACATGCTGGTCTGACAGATGCTTAGAGAAAGCAAAATCTTTCTCCAGAGTCAGTACTATGAATTTGGCCTAATAGCCTATTAAATTGTGAGAGAATATGTATCTGTGGTGTTTCTACCAAAGTTACTAAGACAGAAATTGGTATCAATAGTGGGATGCTGCTTTCTGGCCAATACCTAAAATGTGGAAGCAGTTTTGATATTGGGTAATGAGTAAAAGCTGGAAGAATACTAAGGTACCTAATAGTAAAAACCTAGATTACCTTGAAGAAGCTGTTGGTGGAGTTATGGCTGTTAGAGACAATTCTGGCAAAGGTTCAGAAGGAAGTGAGGAGAGCTGTAACTCCAGAGACGTGCAGACAGTGAGAAGTTGCAGCATAGAAACTATACCAGCAGGAAACCGACACAAAACAGAAGGGAACCAGGCCACAGAGCAAGAGTGCTAAGTGTCTTCAGGCCAAGGCTTACTGGTAGAGTGGAGTGCCTCTTGGCATTTATCAGAACTAACAACAAAGAGATTTCTAGCACTTGCTAGAGTAGAACAGAGGTCATGCTATTGTCTTCTAGAGATCAAGGAACCAGCAAGCAGAAGCTGAAGAGACAAGAGGCATGGGAAGCAGAGTTGCTTAGTTCTCAAGAGGTAGGGCCACCCTCTCTGGGTACTAACACCTCTGAGGTTTCTAAGGTTGAGCCACAATTTCCTAGGTTTCAAAGAGACAGGTATTTTACCAACTAAGTTCTGGAGTGAGCGGCTTCCTTTAAGATGGCCATTAAGATGGGACCACCACACAAAACTGAGGGGGAAGGGCAGCCATACCCAAGGGGGCAGAAAAACAAGGCCTGCTGAGACCTAAGGAGTAGGGCTTACCACTCAGGGGGGACTAGGAGAATGGGAATGCCCAAAGCAGATGGAGCAGAATTGCCATTCCAGTGGGCCTGGGAGGCACAGCTCAAGCCCAGGGTCCTGGGACCCCTAGCAAGAATGTGGGCATGGCTAATACCCAGAGCAAGGCAACTGCTTAGATGGTTTCCGAGAACAGAGGATTATTTTCAGGCCTTTAGAGCTAAAGAGATAAAAGGAGAGAGAAGTGAGCAGAGAGAGAAAGACATACTACACCAGGAAATAAGGATCAGGAGAGGAGTATGTCCTTTGGACCTAAGTGAGGTCCCTGTGCTGTGTAAGTCTTAGATCAAGAAAACATTGATGCCAACCCAGATGGAAATCTCTAAGGAATACTTGACCAACAGACTTCTAGCCTCCTAGACTATGAGAGAATTAGTTTCTTTTTGTTAAACCCATCCAGTTGTGGTGTTTCTGTTATAGCAGCATAAGATAAGTCGATTACCAAATAATTCTGTTATAAAGAAGGCATTGTGACTTCTACATATTAGGTGATCAATGAATGTTAACGTACATAAACTTTATTTAAATTAATGATGTACATAGAAAAAGAGAGATTTTAAAGTACAAGTCATGCTAGGAATGGTAATAAGTCAGAACTTACTTTGCCCAGAAAGTGAGTAATGGGAGGTAAACTTGAAAGGGTATAATGAGAATAGTTTTAGAAGTCTGTAATATAAAGGAGTCCTAGTGTGGTGCTGTGGGTTAATGCGCCAGACTGCAAAGCTGTTTGAACTGCAAGGTCGGCTGTTCAAGCTCACCAGCTGCTCCTCGGAACAGGGTCACTATGGGTCGGAACCAACTCGACAGCACTTAATAACGATATAAAGGCAGTGTTTTAACATTTATCTGATATGTAATAGGAAACCACTAAAGTTTTTGAAGTGAGTGAAAATAGTATCACAGTTATTAAGAGTCTTCTATAGGTGCCATGTAAGGAGCTCTGGTAGCGTAGTGGTTACGAATCGGGCTACGAACCTTAAGATCTGTGGTTCGAAACTACCAGGCGCTCCGCGGGAGAAAGATGAGGCTTTCTACTCCCGTAAAGATTTACACCCTCGGAAACCC